GGACGTCCACGGCCGGAGGCAAGGGCGGGAGGCGGCGCCGGAGGGGACGGGACCCAGCAGGCCCCTTCCCCCGGGCGACCGGGCGGAAGGAGCCGGGTTGGGGCGGTGTGAGTGGGCGCGGAGGGCAGCACCATCTGGAGGGGCGGATCCGCGCGGCCTCTGGGGGGCAAGCGAGTGCGCTGGGCCGGGCAGGAGGAGCGTGGCGGGGTCAGCCCCGCGCTGCCCGAGCAGCAGCCACAGCGAGTCGGGGTTCTTAGCTGGGGCCCGCAGCAGCTCCGCGGGCTGAAGTTCGGCGTGGAGGAGCAGGGCGGGGTGGGTCCGGCCGTGCAGGAGGAGGGCGGCGTGGGCCTGGGGGTGCAGGAGCGCGGCGGCCGCGGCCACGAGCCCAGCCTGGGGGTGGTGTGGGGGCCGCCCGACGGAGCGGACTGGAGGCGCCCGCCGCAGTGGACGGGCTCCGCGGGCTGGCCTGTGGCGCAGGAGGAGGCGCTGGGGCCCGGCAAGCAGCACCAGGAGAAGGGGGGAGGCAGCCCCGCAGTGCAGGAGCGGGGGGAGGCCCGCGCCGGGGTGCAGGAGCAGGGGGAGGGGAGCCCACGCAGGCTGCTGCAGCAGCAGCCGGAGCAGCTGCCCGAGTTCGGGGACGGCTCCTGGGAGCGCGGGGAGGAGCTCGAAAGTTCCGGGGAACAAGGGGAGCGGTATTGGGAGAGCAGTAGGCACCTCAGCCGGGAGGCGGTGGTCCTCGGAGCGGCCCCTGCGCGTCGGGAGAGACTCGAGCTGGTAGGAAGGGCCCGGCCCGTCGGGCCCAAGGGGCCTGAAGGGGAGGGGCGCCTAGGGGTGCAGGAAGCGAATTGGCTGCCCGGGGTGCAGGAAGGACAGGTGGTTCAAGCTGTCCAGGAAACATACCTGGAGGGGAAGGGGTCCCAGGAAGGAGAGGGGCCCCCCGAGGGGCACAGGACCCTGAGGCGCAGGACCGTAAGGCGCAGGCGGAGGAGGAGGTGGTAACCCCAGGGCGGAGGGAAGCACAGGATGTAGGGGTTGGGGGAGCAGACGAGTGCTGTGAACCGCGGACAGTTGAAAGCTGCCCGACGGCAGGCTGTGGCCTGCAGATCCTCTTCTGCCACCTCCGCCGCCTGGGCATCATCGAAGCCGTGTCTGCAGGGAGGCAGCAGAAGGCGGCAGACAGGTAAGGAAGCCCAGTTGTCTCAGCTGGAGTCTGTGAGTTATTTTGAAGCAGGGGGCTGTGGTTACCAGTGGTCTCCAAACTGCCCTTGTTCTCTCCCGTTTTTCAGCCTGGGGAGGGAGGAAACAGTGCAGTCTTCAGCAGCGAGGCAGGACCTCCCCCACAACAGTGCTGCGTATGGCAGCTGCAGTGATGGGGCATCTCCTTAGCGTCTAGACTGGAGGCGAGACTTCATGGGTGGCTGCCAGGCATGGGCAGAGGGAAGAGACAGGCAACCCAGGGCTGGAGTTGCAGGGGAGGTGGTCGCCCCTCACCTGTCTACCCATCGAGATAGGGGATACGGGGTGCCTCCATCCCATACGTGGGATGGTGCAGTCAGCACAGGCTGCCTCAGGTCTTCAAAACATGTTCCAGAAAAGGAAGCAGCGCGAATTAACAGGACTTGCTCAGAGACCTTATCATGTAACCCTCTTGGCCACGTGAGCTGAGATGTGAGTGTGGCAGCAAGTGATTTGGGCACCAGCCTGACGTGCTCTTGCCACACCTTCTTGTCACGGCTGATTTATGCTGAGGGCCCTGAGCCAAGGATGAATAGTGGGCAGAAGGGTGGAGAGCTGCCGGAGAAGCAGCTCGGACCCCAACCTGAAATATGCGCTCAGGACTGTGGACCTCTGCTGTGGTGGGAGCCCTGACCTCTGCCTTGCCTGTGGAGGTGGACAGATGGGCAGTGATGGCATCACGGCTTCTGCAACACCCAGGGCCAGCTCCTAGCCTAGCCTAGAGGTGGGCTTGGTGGGGGGCTAGATTTGACTTCCTATTGATTTCTTTATGGCCTAGATGCCAGGCCCACTCTTCATTTCTGGCCCAGGAAGGCTTGGTGGGCCAATTTATGGGCCTCAGCCTCCTGGGCTGCTCAAAGCTCCCTGGCACTGTCAGGGTTCCTGCCTCCCTAGCTCTGGGGTGAGGTGTGTGTGTGCAGAGTTGCTCCCTGCCTCAGGGCCCTATCTGGGACCTATCTCTGCCCCAACCCCACCTACAGCTCTGAGTCAGGTGGCCCCTGCACCCTTGTCCCACACCAGACTGAGTAGGGATACTGCTCCCTTGTGGGGGCAGGCCGAGTGGCGGTGGCATCCTCACTAGGTAGCTGCTGGGACTGTACCGGATGAGCCGGTTAGCCTGCTTCTCATGGAAACCTGTCTGTCAGCGTCGCCCCATGCCTGACACGATGCCACCCCAAACACTGGTACACAGGAAGTTCAGCTGCTGTGTTCATGGCTTGGTCCCTGGATATTCTGGGATGGCTAGAGTGGAGAGAATTGTCTGTTCTAAACGTGCACACACAAGCATGCTCCTTCACCCACTTATTTCTTGTTGGCTTTTCTGAGGGCTTTGGCATCTGACAGATCCGGGTTTAGATCTGTGTTTACCACTTATTAGCTGTGTCACCTCTTCAGGCAAGATGATGTCTTTGGGCCTCAGTTGTCTTGTCTGTGAAGTGGAGCAAATTCTCCTACCTATCTCACATGGCTGTTGGAAGGATTAATGCATACAGAGCCCTTGACACTGTACCTGGAGCATGGCAGATGCTGGCTCAGCAGCTCCTTTTATTTCCTTCTCTGGACTTAGGAAACCCTGGTGGCGTAGTGGTTAGGTGCTACGGCTGCTAACCAAAAGGCTGGCAGTTTGAATCCACCGGGCACTCCTTGGAAACTCTGTGGAGCAGTTCTGCTCTGTCCTGTAGGATTGCTATGAGTCAGAATCAACTCGACGGCATTGGGTTTGGTTTGGTTTTGGGGCCTACGCTTAGAGCTAGGGAAGGCTCTTTCTCCTGGTAAGGACCTACCAGGGCTTTTCCTAGTGTCCTGGGTGCATAGAAGTCAGACCCTCTTTCCCAGCCTGGTGCCCACCTTCCCAGCAGCCCTGGCTGGCAAATATTGAGTAGGAGGGGTGAACGCTCCCAGACCTCCTTTGGCCCCTAAACCTAGTTATCCCTGTGCTTACCCTGGAAGGTGTTTTTTTTTTTTTTTTTTGAATAACAGCTTTATTGAGGTATAATTGACATGGTAAACTGAACATACTTAAAGTACACGAATTAATACGTTTTAATATATGTACAGATCTGTGAAACCGTTAATCAGAATGAACATATCTGTCATTCCCAAACCCGCAAATGTTTCCTTGTGCCCGTTGGTAATGCCTCCATCTGCCCCTCCTCTGCCATCCCCAATCCCCCGGGAACAGGCTGATCTGCTTTCTGTCACTGTACATTAGTTTGCATTTCCTAGAATTTTACGTAAATGGAATCAGAGAGTATGTACTCTTTTTTTTTTTTTTTTTTTGTCTGACTGCTTTCACTCAGTGTACTTTGGGATTTTTTCATGTTGATGTATCAACAATTCATTCCTTTTTATTACTGAGATGTATTCCATTGTCTGGATAGATCATAATTTGTTTATCCAGTCACTTGGTAATAGAGTTTTGGGTTATTTCCTGTTTTGGGCTATTACAGATAAAGCTGCTATGAATGATTGTGTAACTCTTTGTGTCGACAGATGCTGTTGTCTCTCTTGGGTAATCCTTAGGACTGGAATGACTGGATCACCCATGGTAGGTGTCCATTTAACGTTCAAGAAACTGTGAGACTGTTTTCCAAAGTGGTTGTACCATTTTACATACCCACCAGCAGTGTCTGAGAGTTCTAGTTCCCCTACATCCTTGTTATCACTTGCGATGGTCAGTCTTTCTAATTTTAGACATTGTAAGAGGTGTGTACTGGTGTCTGCTGTGCGTTTCCCTGCTGACTAATGTTGTGCATCTTTTCATGTGCTTCTTTACATCTGTGTATTTTTGGTGAAGTGTCTGTTCAAATCATTTACCCTTTTTGGGAGTTTTTTTTTTTTTTATATTGAGTTTTGAGAGTTCTTTGTACATTCTGGATACAAGGCTTTTATCAGATATATAATTTGCAAATGTTTCCTTCCAGTCTGTGACTTGCTTTTTCACTCCGCTAACTGTCTTTTGAGGAGCAAAAGTTTTAAATTTTAACGAAGTCCAATTTATTCTTTTTATATATTGTGCTTCTGGTGTCGTGTCTAAGAAATATTTGCTTAACCCAAAGCCCCAGTGGTTTTCTCCTTGAAGCTTCATGGTTGTGGGTTTTACATTTAGGGCTACGATCCATTTTGTGTTGATTTTTGTTGCTGGTGCGAGGTATGAATCAAAGCTTATTTTTTTGGATATGGATATCCATTGGTTCCTCAATCTCTAGATCAATGTGGGGGAAATTGACATTTTTTTTTTAAATTTATTTTTTGTTGTTGTTGAGAATTGGCATCTTAACAATATTGAGTCTTTTGACTCATTAACAAGGTGTATTTATTTAGGTTTTCTTTGTCTCTGCAGTGTTTTGTAGTTTTCAGTGTACAGGTCTTTCACATCTTTTGTCAGGTACATTCTTAATTATTACATATTTTTGATGCTATTATAAATATGCTTGTGGGTTTTTTTTTTGGATGTTATATAGTTTTTAAAATTTTGCTTCCCAATTGTTTGTTGCCAATATATAGAAATGCAACTGTCTTTTGTGTATTGATCTTTAATCCTACACCCTTGCTAAACTGACTTATTAGTTCTGGTAGGTTTTTTGTAGCTTCCGTTGGATTTTCTACATATCATGTCATTTGCTAATAACAATGGCTTTACTGCTTCCTTTCTGGTCTTCATGCCTGTGACTTCTTTTTCTTGCCTCATTGCATTGGGTAGATCTTCTGGTATAATGTCAAACAGAAGAACAGATGCCTTATTCCTGATCTTCAGGGGAAAGCATTCAGTCTTTCGCCACTAAGTATGATGCTAGCTGTAGGTTTTTTATATACGATCTTTATCAGATTGAGGAAATTCCCTTCTCTTCTTACTTTGCTGAGAGTTTTAATCAGCAATGGTCTTTTTGTTAAATGCTTTTTCTGTGAATTACATTGATTGATTTTTCATATGTTAAAGCAACCTTGCATTTCTGGGACAAACTCTACTTTGGTCTTGATATATTATCCTTTTTATGTATTTTTGGATTCTGCTTGCTAAAATTTTGTTAAGAATTTTTACATCTATGTTATGAGGGTAGTTTTCTTATAATGTTTATGAGATTCATAGTGTATGGCTTTAATTTATTACATTCTACCTTCAAGTGATATTAGTATCTAAAAAAAACCAAACCCACTGCCCTCGAGTCAATTCCGACTCATAGTGACCCTATAGGAGGAGGGTTTCAAGGCTGTCAGTCTTTACAGAAGCAGACTGCCACATCTTTCTCCCGTGGAGCAACTGACGGTTTAGAGCTACCAACCTTTCTGTTAGCAGCTGAGTGGTTAACCACTGTGCTACCAGGGTTCCTTGATATTAGTATACCCAAGATCAAACCCACTGCCATCGAGTTGATTCCAACTCATAGCAACCGTATGAGCAGAACTGCCCTGTAGGGTTTCTAAGGGGTGGCTGATGGATTCAAACTGCCAACCTTTTGGTTAGCAGCGGAACTCTTCACCACTGTACCACCAAGCCTCCTAATATTAGTATAAGAACCTAAAAATGGTAACTTCCATTTTTTCCCTCTCTTTATGCTATTATTGTAAAAAATTATACTTCTGCATATATTATAAGCTCTACACTGCATTGGTATTACTTTGGTATAAACAGTTATCTTTTAAAGTGATTTAAGAAAAATGTCTTATATATCTAGCCAAGTAGTTCACATTTTCAGTGCTCTTCACTTTTTTTTTTTGCATGTATCTATATTTATGTATGGTATTTTTTTCTTCTTCCTGAAGGCCTTCTTTAATTTCTTGTAGTGTGGGTCTGCTGGTGGTGAATTCTTTCTGCTTTTGTATGTCTAAAAAGTTTATTTTGCCTTTAGTTTTGAAAGGTATTTTTGCTGGAATAGAATTTTAGGTTGCTAGTTTTCTTTCATTGCTTTCATAACGATGTGCCACCCTTTTCTCATGTCCCTTGTTTCCACAAGAAGTCTGTCATCTTTATTTGTTTCTCTGTACAGAACATGTCTTTTTCCCACCTCTGGCTGCTTTTAAAGATTTTTTCTTTATCACTAATTTGTAATACTTTGATTATGACGTTCCTTGATGTAGTTTTCTTCATGTTTCTTGTGCTCGGGGTCGTTGAGTTTCTTGGATCTGTGGATTTATAGTTTTCATCAAATTTGGAAAAATTTCAGCCATTATTAAATTTTTTTTTGTACCCAACTCTCTCTTCTCTCCCTCTCTCCTCCCCTCCCTGACTTTTCCTCCCTTCCCCTTCCCTCCTTTCCCCTCCAGGACTTCAATTATATATATATTAGGCCACTTGAAGTTGTCCCACAGTTTACAGATGCTTTGTTTATTTATTTTTTTAATTCTCTTTTTTCTTTTTTCCATTTTGGATAGTTTCTATTGCTGTGTCTTCAGGTTTTTCGTCTGCAGTATCTGATTTTAATTCCATCCCTTGTATTTTTTTCATCTCACACATTGTAGTTTTTATTTTAGAAGTTTGATTGGAATCTTTTAAAAAATATATCTTGTCTCTAAACATATAGAAGACAGGTACAATAACTGTTTTCAGTGTCTTTGTTTACTAATTCTAATATCTGTGTCAGTTCTGGGTTGGTTTTGGTTTATCTTCTCATTATGGGTCATAGTTTTCCTGCTTCTTTGCATGCCTGGTAGTTTTTGTTGGAGGCCAGACAGTGTTCGTTTTACCTTATTGATTGCTGAATGTTTTTGTATTCGTACAAATATTCTTAAGCTTTGTTCTGGGACCCGGTTAAGAGGCTTGGAGAAAGTTTGATCCTTTTTTGAATGTTGTTTTTAAGATTTGTTAAGTGGAATTGGAGCAGTGCTCAATCTAGAGGTAATTAGACCTCATTGCAGGGCAGGACCCTTCTGTTTATTCTCCCCAGTGCTTAGTTTTTCCAGTCTGGCTGGTGGTAACAGCCACTTTTCCCAGCCCTGTGTAAGCACTGGGCACTGTTACTTCTGATCCTTTTGAGTGTTTTTTTCCCCCCAGTCTTGGATAGTTTCCTCACATGCTTGTGATGATCAGTACTTAGCTGAATATTCGACGGGGGCCCTTTGCGGACTGAGGGGCTCTCTTCTCTCTGATACTTTCTGCCGTGAACTCTAGCCACCTGAGTCTCCCTGGACTCTCAGCTCCATTGCCTCAACTCAAGGAGTCTGCTGAGTTCCAACTGACCAGGAAATTCAATCACAGGGCTAACTTCCTGTGTCCTGCCTCATGACTGGTATCTTGAAAAACCATTTTGTATGTGCTGTCCATCTGTTTGTTGTTTCAGGCAGGAGGGTATATATGCTCCTTATTATTCAAACTTGGCCATAGATGAAGATTTGATGTTCGTTCTTCCGTTCTCACCCTTCCCATCTTTCAGCACTTCCACTGTAAACAGACTAACAAAGTAGTTGCAACTCATGGTGACCCCATGTGTGTCGTTGAACTGTGTGCCATAGGGTTTTCAATGACTGATTTTTTGAGAGTAGATTGCCAGGCCTTTCTTCCAAGGTACCTATGGGTAGAGTTAAACTGCTAGCAGCCAAATGTGTCAACTGTTTGCACCACCCAGGAACTTCACTTCCACTGTACATGTATCTTATTTTTTCTTTAGTCTCTTACCCATGTTTACATGAACATTGTTACAGTGAGTTTAACTGTGTTGGCTTTTCCTGCACAACTGTTTCCCCTGGAGTTGCTTTTTTTGTTTGTTTGTTTGCTTAGTTTTCTGTGTGCCTTTTAATAAATTAGTCAAACTCTCCAGTAGCTGTGTAAATTTCTCAAGACGCCATTTCTGTTGGGTATTCTATCAACGTTCATCCTTCTGCCCTGCAGCAGCCTGGACTGGTTGCTCTCTACCACTGAGGCGTAGCTGCCCTCCTAGGATCTCCCTTCAGCTTCCTGGGGATTTCCTTCACTGCCCTTCTCTGTTGGGTCTCTCGGTCCCTGTGTCCCATATCTTCCCCTTTGTTGGCTTACTCTTGTAAAAAGTTTGAGAAGCACTGGTCTGTACCTTGTTCATTCATTCAGCAAACATTTATGAGCACCTGCTGTAGGCCAGGCTCTACACTGGGTGGGGTAGGGGGAGGTCTGTCGAATTTTTTGTGTTTGTAATTTTTTTTTGTTTCCTCTGTGTGTGTGTGTGTGTGTGTGTGTGTGTGTGTGTGTGTGTGTGTATGTGTGTGTTTTAATATCCAGTTGTTATTTTGTGAATACAACATCTTATCTCTCTGAGGATATCAATGAACGTTTTCTGTCTGCAGCTTTCCTCTCCTGCATAGTCTTTTTCTCTAGGTTGCTTTTTCCTGCGTGTTTTGCATGCTGTCCTCCATGTGAGAGGCTTTCCTTGGTGTCTGGTAATTCTTTGTCTGCTTGTGATGGAGGGTGGGAGACTTACAATGCCGGGTGGCCCTGTCGACTGTGCGCTTCTCTGTATGGTGACCTGGATGGGCCGTTTGTTGGGAACCCCTAGTGTTGGCATCCTTACATCTTTCTTGGCCTGGTCAGAGTGTGCAGAAAAGACACCTCCCCTGCTACCATGTGCCAGGAGGTGGAGG